TGTCTATTTTTGTCCTGAGTTCATTTATCTCTTTATTAATCATGTTCTTTGTTTCACCTTGGTGTTATATAGTGCTTCTATGGTTTCCTTTATTCTTTTGCTTTTTCAAATTCTCTATTTTTGTTGTCTTGGAATTTCTTGAGTGTCTCCTGTATATGTTGGTTGACCCTATCCAGTATCATCTCTATAAAATTCTCATTGAGTACCTGTAGTATGTGTTCTTTTCAGTTATTCTTGTGGGCTTCATTGGGTCCTTTGGCATAGTTTATCTTCATTTTGTTGGAGTCTGGATCTGAGTATCTGTTGTCTTCATTTCCCTCTGGTTCCTGTACTAATTTTTTGCTGTGGGGAAACTGGTTTCCCTGTTTTTTCTGTCTTCCCATCATTGTCCTTGGTGTTGTTACTGTCCCTGTACTGTGTGCAATTAAGTATTTTCTGGCTTATAATAATAGCACTAGTGATATTTAGAATGGAAGCGTGAGAGGGGATGGAAAGCAAAGAAGTTAAAGAAAAGGGAAAAACAAATAATCAAGTAAAAAAAACAAAGCAAAGAAACAAACAAAAAAGTTTCAAAGATATAAACAGGGAGACAGTATACTAATCAACTGTAAGCTGAAAAGGCATTAGAGAGACAGAGAGAGGATTGAAAATAAAAAATAAAAAGAATAAAGATAAGAATATAAATAAAAATAAGTAAATGAAAGAAAAAATATATATATAAAATAAAACAAAATAAAAGATAGAAAAAAAACCTCCAAGTTCAAATGCGATGAAGTTTCAGTCCTAATAATTTTGGTGTTCGTCCCTGAGCCTCCAGTCCTGGAGATGGTGCCTCAGATGTTGTTCTGTAGTTGTCTCATCAAAGGGGAAACATAAAGTAGAACAAAACTGCACACACACACAGACACACAAAAAACAACAAAAAAATACATAGTGTCCCAAGTTCAAATGCAATACAGTTTCAGTAAGTTTTTCAGCATGCAGCTGTAGTTTGGTTGTTCTCTCATCAAAGGTAGGGAGAGAGAAAAAAAAGAGTCTGGAGACAGGTCTGTGAATGGCTATCTGCATCTGTGGCTTGTCTGCCCGTTGCTGTCAGCCTGCTGTTGCTGGAGGTGTTATTTATGCAGATCTCTGGGGTGAGCTTAGCACTCATCTGGCCCTGCAGGCTTTGTTTACTCAGAGTTCTCCTGTGCACGAGCCACTGCTACAAGCTTTCCCATTTCCAAGCACACTGGGGTAGGTGACACTGCACCCGCTTTCTCAGGCCTGCATGTTTATTTACAGCTCACATGGGAAGTGGGTCTTCCCCCCCCTGCTGTGGAGTTTTCCTCCCACTGCCACTTTTACAAGCTTTCCCGCTCCTGATTGCTGGGTGTGTGCTGCCGCTCATGCCAGCCAAAGTGTTTATTTACAGCTCACATGGGAGGTGGGTCTTCCCCCGTCTCCTGTGGAGTTTTCCTCCCTCCACCACTCTCACAAACTTTCTGGCTCCTGGTTGCTGGGCACGCGCCCACACTCCCATCCTCTTCGGCCAGGCCCGGCTTGTTTATTTACAGTTCCAGGAGGGATTCTACTCCCCCGCCCCTTTCAGTGCTCAGGGCACCCCACCCTCTTTGCTACATGTCTTTATTGTTCTTTATTGTTCAGTTTCTCTTTTTTCCCCAGGTGGGGGTCAGTCTGTCCAGGGGGCTATGCTGATCTGGCCCAGGGTTGTCTGTGGGAGTACCATGTACCGCTTAGCTCACCTTGTCTGCGTCTTCCCAAGCCGTCTAGGCATGGGCGACTGGTGGCCTGGGGGCCCTCCTGGTTTCTCCGTTTAACGTGAAGTGGAGATTCTCTGCCCAGGATGAAGGTGTGGAGGGGTCAAAATTTTGCCTCTTCTCGGTGGTCTTGCCTGCAAGGTGTGTCTCCAGCATCTCTCCAAGATTTCACTTTAAGGAGGCATGCTTTCTGCCTCCTCCCTCTAGCCACTATCTTGGAATTTGTCTGGTTTTTTTTGTTTGTTTTTGGCAGTACTGGGGGTTAAACTCAGGGCCTCCCCTTTGCTAGCCAAGCTCTTTACCACTTGAATTATTCTGCCAGTCCTTTTTTGTATTGGTTATTTTTGAGATAGAGTATCCACTTTATGTCCAAGCCAGCCTGGACTGTGACTCTTACTTGTGCTTCCTCCCATAGTTTGATGGGGTCTTGCAAACTTTTTGGCTGAGCTAAACTGAGATCCTCTCTATCTCTGTCTCCAACGAATTAGGATTAGAGGCTTGAACCACTGTACCCATTCTGTGTTTTTTCTTTATCTTTTACAAAAGTGAAGTGTCCAATGTTAAATAACTGATAGCTGGTCTCACAATCATTGAAATTCATATTCAGACCTGCTGACTTGGCAATTATATTCCTTCTTCCCCCCATTTCTGTAACTTGACCAGAAACCTGAGGCTCATCTTTGACTCTTCCTTGCTCTTCACCACCCCTACCCAAACTCATCCAATTAGCTAGTTCCCTCAATTTGACCTTCTGTATGTCAAAAGATATCTTTATTTCTGCATCCAGTTATCTTGGATGCAGACTCCGTTGTCGCTTATTTAAGATATTACAGTGGCTTTCTACTTTATCTCCTGACTTCTCAGAATGCTCCTCTCCCATCTTGCCTGAAGAAAACCTCAAGTGTATGTGTTCTTCAGCAACCCCTTCTGAGACCTCTTTCTGTCACTGTTTAAAAATCTTTAATAGAACTTCCAAGGATCTTCACTGTTTGGCTTCCAGTGTCTTTTTGAGCTTCATGTCTTGCCACCTCTCTCACAATATGCCAAGATTTGGTTTTATTAAGCTTCTTTTGAGTTCTTGGACCATGTGAGAGAAAGAATAGCACAAGTTATACCTAGAATTAGGAAGCTTACCTTAATTCTAGACACTACCAAATTCTGGGACCGTACCTTCTCTATATGTGACACACCGATTATCGCAGACCACATCTCTCTCGCAGGCTGATGTATCCTCTTGCCTACCACATTTCCCAACACTGTGCTCAATAAAAGTAGGTGTTTAGTTAAAATGTTACATTAAGAATTATAACTCACATTTCATGACCTCCTTGAGACCGTGCAGCCTCTTAGCAAAAGTTTTGTAAGGGTTGAGAGTACAGGTTTGGTACCATACATGAAATGATGTCTTCCCTGTGACTGTATTGCATTCTGAGTGTTAAGCATAGAGCTTAACATGTTCTGAGCAATCTTTGTTTAATAGCTTTTCATCCAAATGTTCAACTCTTAATGTAGCATTTGCCTTATTGCTGTGTACATATGACGTAATCAAAGCAGTATCTACTAAAGGGAGCATTAAGCTGTTGTTCACATAAAATGAAAATTGAGACTAAAAACAATTCCATTGGTGAAATTTTCTGGTCTTAAAATACTTCATCCAGGAATACTTTTTGACTTTGTAAATATCTCTAGGAAGTCTAAACTTTATATGGAGTCTGAAAATATCAACTAGGAAACTTTCTCAGACTTCTGTTTGTTGTAAAACAAAAGGGAATGATCACATTTTAATTTTATTAAAGGCTTATACCTACTTAATGTAATGACATAGAACTGGTAAATGATTTTCTTGTATACTTTTGTGACTCATTCTCATGGATGGCAATGTCTATAAGGAAGTATGGATTATTTTCATTTGGCAGTAGGATAAACCTAAAATAACAAGTTTCAATGAAGGAGTTCCTATATGTATTTTGTATCACAAGCTTGAGCCCTACTTTAAAAATGAATCACTAGGGAGTATTTTGGAAGCAGGCTGTTATGGGTTCAAATCCTCAGTCCCCCACATATTATTCCTATGACCTTGGACAAATTGTTTGATATATCTAGGCTTTGGGTTCCTCATTTGTAAAATGGAGATACTGCTTGCTACCTGAAGAGTTTTCTAGGAGGACAGAGGGAGGCAAGGTGCAAATTAGCACAGAACCTGCCATATGATAGGTACTCTATTCTGCTTACAAAAACTGCCAGACATCTTACTCTCAATATTATCCCAAATTAAAGTGAAAAGAGATCCATTTGAAGTGTTTGTTAAATCATTGCAAAAGTAACTGTTGCACATTACTTGTGCAAATCTTGGATTTGCACATTATCCAAGGAAAACTACTGATACTGAATTTTTCCATATGAACTGCATCTTCCATCTACCACAGCAGGAAAGTATGTAAGGTTAGAAATTTCAATTCATGCTATTTAACTGGAATAGTGAACCCTGACAATAATTTTAATATTTGGGAAATTATCTTGAGTTATTAATATTTTAGGCAGTTTTAAAAATCCCCAACAATCTACCTCTCTTTATTTTACCAGAACTGTATAAATCTGTAAACAATCCCATTGCCTCTGTTAAGTCCCATATCATATAACTACTGATTACAAGAGGATCTTACTGAATCTCTGATCAGTATAATTACCTGGTAGTAAAAGTATGGCCTTGCAAAACACAACAGACCTAACTTTGGAGTGTTTGCTTCATGAAATTATTGGAAAATGTGATATCTATTTTTTAAAAAAACTGTTTGTGCATGGCTATTGTCTTTTAAATACCTTATTGCTTTTCTCCGGATGTTTCCTCCTGTTAAAGTTATTTTCTTAACTGATGTGTGTGCTCTCTCTTTCTCTCTACCTCCCTGGCAGTCTTGTCCCTATAAAAGGACCCATCTGTTTAAGGTAGAGATTCTTCCTTTTTATATTCTCATCAGTGACTAAGATGCATGGAATAGACATGACTATATTTAGAAATTGTGTTTAATTCTGCTTTTTAAATACAATGACATTTTGTTTTCCTTCAAGTCAAATCTGTTTTTTTCAGTCTGAGTTCAAGTACCACAAAATATGTCTAATTTCTAATCATAGTTATAGAGCAAAGAATGCATTTTAAACTTGCTAATACATGGTAATTAAAAATAATGCCTCAAAAACTGATGCTCCCTGTAATGTGTAATTCTATATACAGAGAGTGGGAGAAGCTTTCTCACAAAAATGACATATTTTCATTTAATTTTATTAGACTTGAATTTGAGAGGCAACAGCGTGAAGAACTGGAAAAATTAGAAAGTAAAAGGTAAGCCATGTGGGGTTCAAGTTTCAACACTACTGTAGCGTGAGGGTTTCTCTGTTAATATCCTGGATTGATTTCACCCATGCCTCTTTCATTTCTCTGTGTCTGTTATTTACATGTCTAATGCCTGTAGGTAATTTATTTTTAAATGGTTTAGTTTGCTTCATGTTTAAAATTTTAAAACAATACATCTTCAAATACTTGAGAAAAAGGGAGAATAAAGCCAACGAGCAGATTTAATATACCAAATATATGTTTAAATTTAACTCAAAATCATATCTTTTCTTTATAATATCCCTTGAGTTTTTAAAAAGTCAATAGACTCAGTGAAATAATTAATTAAAAAATCCAAAGAATTTTCCTTCCTTGTTAACTACCCCCACATATACCTTTTTCTTTTGTGGGGCTAAAGATCAAACCCAGTGCCTGTGCTTGCTAGGCAAGTGCTGCAAGCTCTACTACTCTAGTACTTGGCGGGAGTGGGGGGTGGGGGCTTGTTTGTTCAGTATTTTGATTTGTAATGAATTGGTTTGGTTTTGGTGTTTTGAGATAGGATCTGGCTTTGTAGTCCAGTCTGGTCAGGAAGTCAGGATCCTCCTGCTGAGTCACCACCCCTCTTTCCTTATGTCATTTGGCCACTTGTATTTTCCTAGTTGTACTTTCTTTGCTCACTTTTCTTTGGGATATGTATCTGTCAAGCTAATTGACTTGAAGAGTTGTTTATATGTTTTGAAATATCCTCTGTTTGATAAAACTATATTTTCTCCTTTTCTTTTCTCTGTCTCTCTCTCATCTCATGTTTAACAAGTCAAGAAGAGTGGACTAAGGATATCTATTGGAGTTGAAACTAAGGCCGTAGAGAATCTAAAAAACTAGACATTTATCTTCTAGAATCTGGAGTGTAAATGTCACAAATGAATTAATTTTGCTTCCAGTATCATACAGGATGGGAGTGGTGGGTTAGGAGATGGAGGCCATGTGTATCCTGTTACTCCATGTTCTTGCTTTGGAGTCCATTCCAACCCCAAACCCTTATTTAGCACCCAGTGAGAATCAATTGTATTTTGAGAGAAAACATAACATGTAACCCCTAGAATCATGAACATGTGTATTCTAATAAGGAATCCAGCTATTTTTGGTGTTATGCATTAATTAATATTTTGGGCAATCTGGTGACTACCATTTGTCCTAAAATATTCAGTAAGTGCTAACTAGCATGGAACAATGAATTGTCCATTATCTTGACTTTGATGTTCAACCCCCAATGAGTTGAAGACAGAATAAGCATTTTCATTTAATGTCATCTTGTAACTCAACTTCTGTTGAGTTTTACTCACTGGGCCGAATAAAATTATTCACATTTAAATTTAAATTGGACATGGTTCTTTCACTTTGAGCTCAAGGGGCTTTTTTAATTATATCATACATAACACATTATGATTCTAGGCTCCACAAAGAAATGATATCAGAGGCTACTTTAGGAGACTAGGCAGATGATATGTTGGACAGTTAACACATAAAAAAAAATTAAGCAGCATGTTCCTGAAAATTTGAAATGAAAGCACTTCTTCCTCTTTTATTGTAATGAAGGGTTTGGCTTTGTGTTGTGTGCATTTTCAGAACATTCTACATAGAGAAAAGTTACAATTTGAACAATGTGACCAAATAATGATGAGTATTTGCATTGCAGGAAACTTATCGAAGAAATGGAAGAAAGGCAGAGGTCAGACAAGGCAGAGCTGGAACGGATGCAGCAGGAGGTGGAGACTCAACGCAAAGAGACTGAAATTGTGCAGCGCCAGATCCGCAAGCAGGAAGAGAGCCTCAAACGCCGCAGCTTCCACATCGAGAACAAGCTCAAGGATTTGCTCGCCGAGAAGGAAAAGTTTCAAGAGGAGAGGATGAGAGAGCAGCAAGAAATCGAGCTACAGAAGAAGAGAAGAGAGGAAGGGAGCTTTCTCCGCATCAAAGAGGAACTCCAACAGCTCCAAGAACTCAATAGGAATGAACAGGTGGAGAAGATCCTGATATTCCAAGAGTTGGACCAGCTCCACAGGGAAAAAGATGAACAGTGCACCCAGCTGGAGCTAGAAAAAAGGAGACTGGACGAGCAAGAGAAGGAGCAGGTGCTGCTCCCGGCCCACAAGGAGGAGCAGCTTCGAGAGAAGGAGGAGATGGTCCTGCTGTTGCACGGTGGCGAAATTCAGTGTGCAGAGGAGGAGAAGAGGGAACTGGAAGGCATCTGGGAAACCCTCCTGCAGGCAAGGGAGTCCCAGGCTGGCAGCAACCATGATGGTGAGGAGCTGGAAAAGGCTCAGCTGCATTTCTTAGAGTTCAAGAGAAGGCAACTTGTCAAGCTGACAAACTTGGAGAAGGATCTGGTCCAGCAGAAAGACCTCCTGAGAAAAGAAATCCAAGAAGAGCAGAAAGCTCTTGAACATTTAAAATATGAAAATGATGAGGAATCTAGGTTATTGGCAACAAATGATGATGATGTTACAGATGTTGCCAGTGTGGTTCAAGATTTAGAGAAAATGAAGCTTGCAGAGTACAGGCTACAGTGTAAAGAACATCAGCTACAGTCCCTCCTGCAAAATCATTTGCCAGTTCTGCTGGAAGAAAAGCAGAGAGTGCTTGACATCCTTGACAGAGGCCCTCTGGGCTTACACAACACTGTTTATCAAGTAGAAAAAGAAATGAAAGAAAAAGAAGAGCAGCTCATACAGTACCAAGCCAGTGCGAGCCAGGTGGAGCATCTCCAAGCCACCTTTGAATTCACTACCAATGTGAAGCAACAGGGAGAGAAAGTGAGGGAAAAGGGAAAGGAAATTCTGGAATCTAAGGAGAAGCAGCAGAGAGAGGCACTGGAGCAGGCAGTGGACAAGCTGGAGAAAAGGCAATCTGTGCTGCAGAGGCACTCCACCTTGGGCCTGGAGATCCAAGAACAGAGGCAGAAATTTGCCATTCTCAATAGCAGCGGCAGCAAACAGCCAGGGCTCCCAGCTAGCCTGGAACCTGACCAAGAGGCCCTGGAGAAGGATCCGGAGAGGTGAGACAAGGGTAGGAGAGAGTAGCATACAGTAGGTGCCAAATGACTTTTCCTTTTCTGTCCTTCATGGTATGTTTCTTATTGTCTTTTTTTTTTTTTAAAGTGATTCTTTTAGCTTTTGTATTCTCTAATACATAAGTAAATGGTTATTTTTAAAATCAAACCTGAGAAAATACCCCTAAATATTTGTTCATTTTTATCTAGGATCCTTGTTTTAGAATTGTTGGCTTTAAAGTTGAAAAACACATAAAAACAATGTCATTACCCTATAGCTCACTGACCTGTGGAATGCATTTTAGTAATTTGATAAGTGCAAAGGATTGAGAAAGCTTTACTCTTAATTCCTTCTTCCTCCCTCTCTGTCCCTTTTCACTTCTTTTTTTCCCCTTTGGTCCCCTCCTCTCCCTTTCCATTCCACTTCTCTTATCCTCTCTCTTTCCCTCCTTTGTTCCCTCTCTCTTTTCCCTCTCTCCCTTTCTCTCCCTTCCTCCCTCCCCTTCATTTTTTCCCCGCCCCCCACCCTTCCTCACCAATGTCTTTACATTTTTTCCAAGTCCAGCCCTTGTTATAGCAGAACACTATCCCTGAAACTCATGTATTGCATGGAGTGCTCAGATCATTACAACCCAGGGAGAGCTTATGATTCAATATTTCTCCCACACCTATTCAGTCACAGTATTTGTGAAGAGGCCTCAGTATTCTGTATTAAAAAACAGCTAACCAAACTAACAAACAAAACTCTTCAAATGATTCTGAACACAGTGGGATATTCAAGTATGCTTGGTGATATCCACATACCATTAGTGTGGAAAATAAAACAAGGAAACTAGCACTCTTTCCTTGGTAAGGAAAGAATATTTATCTTTCTGTGCCTGTTCCCTGCCACCATGCTTACCAGACAGTAGGTTCTCAAAATTAATAAATACATGCATTTGAGAATAAGCTGTTCTAGTAGCACTGTGGAGGCATGATGACTCCCAAATGGCTGAGAGCAGACCTTAATACCTGTCCCAGCCTTTTCCTACCTGGATGACCTTGAGCAAGATGTTTCATCTTTAGACTTTTATGTTCAAACCTGTTCAAAGGGATGGATGAGATCAAAGTCTATGCATTTTCTTTTAGCTCCATCCTTTGATCAATTAAGGTCTTAACTAAAGCCCAGATTCGGAGACCTGGAATACTGTCCTGTCCCACCCACAATATTTCTGAGGGGGCTTCAGCAGAAGTCCCATCTAGTGGCCTTGAAACCTCAGCTTGGCATTTGAAAGAGGCATGAAGTCAATTGCTGATTATAAGCCAAGACCTACTCAGAAGTGATCCTGTAGCCTTCACCCATCGTCTTTCCTGAGAAGGTCAAGATGACATCCTTATAAATGATGGACTTATACTTTGGATTATATGTGCAGTCACTCTCTAGTATTTCCTTCAGTCAAAACAGCAACAAAATAACAATCAAAAAACATAATGCTATTATTTCAAAGAAATAGGTCAGAGGTTTAAGAAGATTGCAGGTGTGTTATGTAAATGAAATTGCTGGACAAAGCTTCAGCCCCAGGAAATTTAAAGTAGTGGAGAGCAAGCTCTCAATTTGTATCCCACAGTGTGCAATAAAAATGCAGCTCCAGCTTTTAGCTTGATGTCTCTGGCTTTTGTCAAGCAGCCGTTTAACATTAATACTCTATAAGAGCAGACACAGTATTGTGATTTCCATGGAAGTGATTTCCTAGTGTCAGCATTCCTCCAGGAGCCATACAAAGGAGGCATTTAGCATCACGAGTCTGGATGAAATAGACTTTGCTAAGATCTAATTCAGGCCAATGAATTCTAGGGTCTTTGCCCTGTCTGTGATTCTCCTGCAGCTTTCTGTGGGCAGAAATTGCTATTGTTTTATTTTCCTTCTGGGTTCTCATGGTCAAACCAGGACCCTCTGTGCAACTTGGCTTGGGCCTTTATAAAATTCTGCAAGTGTTGAAATATTAAGTTCATGTGGAACCTGAGGTGGACAGCAGTACACTGAGCATGGTTTTCCCATCGTCTTCTCAGTACTTTATGGACAATGTTTACTTCATTTTACTGTTATCCTTCCATCTACTGTTCTTTCCAGCTGCCCCAATAACATACCAGACAGCTGCCCCTAGAAAATTCACACACACCTGGGCCAGTGGGAGAATGACCTTACATATAGTTGACCTTATATTAGATGGGTCACTTATTATTGAACATATTTTTTGGTTCCGCAATTCATAGCTTATTTTTATTCCTCATAGAACTCAATCTGCTTTCTTAGGTTTGACTCCCTTTCCCACTTCCTCTGCCTTGACCAAACGTGTTTCTGGTTTTCGTGACATAGCTCCTTTCCTCAGATTCCTTTCTGCATTGGAGCATCTTCCACCATCATCTTTAAATATCCACATCCCCTGGCCCTTGAAGACTCAGAGCTGTCTTGCCCAGGAAGTTCCTCCTAGATTGTTGGTTTCTAAAAGGCCTTGGAAGCATAGATCTTGTTATCTAGCAGAAGTGTTTAACAGAATCCTGATACATAGTCCACAGCCAACTCTTATTGAGACAGGCATTAAGTCAGAATCCTGCACAGTGACCTCCAAGGACTTGCATGGAGCACAATGGAAGTGTCTTTGCCCTTGTAGTTCAAGCTGTTCAGCTTTTGGATGTCTATAGCACTTTTTTTAGATACTTCATATGGGTTATGTTCACCTTAACCTTATCTTTTAGCTCTGTGACACCTCTTCTACTAGAAGGTAAGGTTCTTAGCACATGCATTTCTTATCTGAATCACCTGTGGTTTTCAAAATAATGTCTCATGTAGAGAATGTGCTCAAGAAATACTACTAATAAATGAGTTTATGTGGTTCACATTTCTGTAGGTTACAAAATGAAATCCTGCAGCTGAAGCAGAAGATCTGTGAGGTTGACAGTATTCAGAGAGGTCATTGTGGGACCCTGGAGGGGAAGGATGCTTCTTCCGTCTTGCTGTCCAGTGCTGATAAATCTCACCTCGCTACCCTAATGGATTCCAGGTACTCAACATTAAACTAGCGTCATACTTACCTTAATGACTCATTGTACCCTTTGGCCAGTTTGCATATAGAGGTATCCATCGAATGCAACAGTAATTTTGTGCTTGAGAAAGGCTCTGTCTTTGTCAGCTGTGCCTGACTGGTGGCAGGGTAGAATCATGTACAGGAAATCAAGGATCTGAGCCAGATTCAAGGAATTCCAGTACAAGTAGTTTGTGTGAGAAGGTAGAATTAAAAAGTGCAGGGAAAGTAGCTTATCCCAAACAAAGTGCTGTGAGGCCTGGTTGAAAAGCATGAACACGTAGAATTACTTATACCAAGAAGGACCTAATGTTGATAATTACCGTCGATAAGTCATTTATTTCAAACTTGTGAATGAAGCTTGTTATATAATCTGTATTATTATATTCAGCATGATCATAAATATAGTAAATATACATGTGATGCTGCTATAATAAAATGATTTTCAACTTAGGTGACATTGTGAATTGCTCTGTGGCTTAGAGATCTCAAATAAATCAACTTCCTCATTCTTTACCTATAAGAAAACAATAATTATTTTCCTGCACCCCATTTGTATCATATGGATACTTCCAACTGGGAAGTCTTGAGTCCTGGATATTAGAAGATAAGTATTTGGATATTAAAATGTACTCAGAATAGCATAAGTGCCTATATCCCCTTCAATATAGGTTTGTGTTTTCCATGGCACTAGTTTAAAATTGCAGTGAAGATCAGGGAAATAATTTGCAAATGGCCTTGACTCATGTTTACTTGTGCATGATTTTGTTTTCAGTACTAAAAGGTAAATATTGTACTTTTAAAAACTATTCTGTCTAAAATATTGATACCTTTACCCAGCATTTAAAAAATTTATTTCTCTGTTGTTCAGTAGCACAGAAATGTTGACAGGATTATGCATGTTTTTAAAAAGAGAAAGGCAGATTTATTTATTTAGTGAGTGTGCTGAGACAAACACTGAAACCATTTAATTTAAAATAATACCTCTAATCACTTAGAGGAGGGCAACCTAGAACTGAGTCAGGCTTTATTTGGGCAGTCTGGTCCAATGGAAAGATTTTTGGTATGACTAAAAATCTTTTGACTCTGTTCTCTATGGGTGGAATGACATAAAAACTTAAGACTGAAATCTGCTGAGATGGTTAAGGGTGACGGTTGTACTTCCTCAACTTCACCTACAGTCTGTGGGGCAGATGATATTAGTTGTCAGTTGCTTCAAAAATCAGTGGTATAAGGCTTCCAACTATCTTGGTTCTGTGCCAGACTGCTTGGAAGGAGGAAACCTTTAAGATGTTGATCTTGCTGGCCAGTACAGATAACCCAACTGGAGAGACAAGACAAACCACGAACAATGCAATAATGTAAAACATTGTTCTGGTTAAATAGTGAAGATTTGAAGAGTGTATGTCTACCTCTTTGTATTTTTTTTATAATCCTCATAAATGACCGAGTGATTAACAAATAACTGTCTTCTATATCATCTTTTTCTCTGTGTTCTGTCTTTGAGTTGGGTCTGAGTTCACAGGGTCTCTGAAGTCAGTGACTAAATTTTCCCCTGAGAAAATCCAGAAAAGAATTGGATGCAGTCACTTTTTCACCTCATCAGTCTCAGTATCCTGTTATTTGTCCAGTTCTACCTCATTTTTAAAAAACTCAGATCTTGAACATATGGCACTATATTTATTTGGAAGGAAAAAAAAGGCCCAAAACTGTTGAAGTTCCCAAGTTGCTTTTATGTTTGTCCTTTAGAATGAGAAAGCTCTATATTTTAAGGAACATCATTAAGATATATACAGTAACCTTGTATGGTTAAAAGAGTTCCAATCTGTCCCATCTTCATGGTTTTCAGGATCAGTGCTTACATTGAAGAGGAAGTCCAAAGACGTCTTCAGGATTTGCATCATACCATGGATGATGCTGGCAAGGCATCTGCAGATATGATGAGGGTGAGCTGAAGAAGCTAAGTAATGTGGTTGTTCCTTTTCTAGGATAACACTGCAGATATGTTAGTTGTGCTGTTGATAAGTGGTGGAGTCTTTCATTACTGTGTCTTAAAATAAACTTTAGTTGTGGAATGTTACAGAAAATATTAAACATTGCCTGGAACTTAACCGTTTACAAATCAAATTAACTGAAGAGCAACTCAGTTCCAAATTTTGTAATTCCAAGGAAACTCATATTAAGTGAATATTAAGTCTCTTAAAATGCTTTGTTTATTGATTTACAAAACTTCTACATGTAACATATATTCTCCCAAAATACAGTTTCCATAAGTGTGGGAAGTGGATTATGAGAACTTGACATAAGCACAGTTGTGCTCAATGATCTACAGGCTGAGTTTGGCATGACTGGGAGAGCAAGAGGCAAAATGCAGTACAGCTGCTTTTCCTAAGTTGTTTAGAGAAGTAGAGAGCAGGTTTCTCTTGTTACAATGTCACGCCCCCTGGAGAATGGTTGCTGCACCTCCTTGTTTACTACTGGATATAAAAGACTTGCTGAAGGAGGACATGAGGATTTTTTTTGATGAGGGGTTGATTGATTGGTGGGCTGCTGCTGCTGCTGAGTTATGCTAGAGATTAGAGGAAACATGGAACATTGCAAGTCTAATGGGACAGTGCAAGTCTGAGGACCGAGACTTTAAAAGGGAACACGGAACAGTGTAAATCTAAGGGTCAAGGCTTTAAGAGAGATTTTAAAGAAAACATGGGACAGAGTGAGTCTAAGGAAAGAGACTTTAAAGAATAGAAAAGAAGAAAGATTTTAGAAGTAAGGCCTTAATGAATAGAGAAGAAAAGAAGCAAAGTAAAAGAGTTAATAGAGAAAAGACGCAATGAGGCTGTTGTGTGTCTCCATCTGAGCACCCAGCACACCTGGCCCCAACTTTCTGCATCTCTGTCTTCTGTCATTTGTCCTTTCTGCATCAGTAGTCACCCCCAGTTAGGTCAGGAGGAAGAGAGCTCGAGAAAGCTCTCGAGACATAAGTATACAATTTACTTTGTAAATTATCCAAGGTAGAAATATGTTTTTCCTTGTAAAGATGCATTTTTGGCAACAAGTTGATTTTTTTAATCAAAATAAAATTCATTTTTATTAGCATATATTAATTATACAAAGTAATGGGTTCTCATTGTGACATTTTCATATGTGCATATACCATACTTTGATCATATTTAGCCCCTCAGTTACCCTCTATAACCTTCCTCCCCCTTATTCTCTTTCACATCCCTTTTTACTTTTGTGTCCTTTTTTCCTAAATTTCACATACTTGTCTTTGTGTGTTTGACTTATTTTACTTAACATCATGCTCCTCAGTTCTATCTATTTTTCTGCATATATATATATATGTATATATTATTATGCCTGAATAAAACTCCATCGTGTATACATACCAAATTTTCTTTATCCATTCATCTGTTGCTGGGCCCCTAAGCTGTAACTTGGTTATTGTAAATAGTGCTATAATAAACATGGGTGTAAAGGTATCTCAATTGTAGACTGACTTTGATTTTTTTTGAGAATGTCCATACATATATCTATCTATCTATGTGTGTGTGTATATACATACACACACAGAGAGAGAAAGAGAGAGAGAGAGAGAGATAAACATGCATACATACATACGGTTGGATAATATGGTAGTTGTAATTTTAATTTTTTGAAGATCTTCCATACTGGAAGACAGCTCATTTCTAACCTACAAATTAAGAAATATCCTAATGAAATCTTGCTTGTAATACTATCCTTGGGACTTTAGACTAGAATAAATAGTTCAGTTCTCTTTCAGCAGATAAATCATTGAGAATCATGTTTACTTTGGAAATACAAATTCTAGGAACAGTTGTCAGTGTTGAATGACATGTATGTTCCTTTAGAATTTTGTTCTCATAAATACTTCTAAGCAAATAAGTTTTTCTCCTCTCTATGAACATGCTATAATTTAATATAGAGGGCTTTATATTTTCTTTTCAGGACAATGAGAAACTGCACAATGGCACCATTCAACGTAAGCTAAAATATGAGGTAGGTAATGATTTTTCAGATTGATAGGGTCGCTTAAATTATAGCATGCTTGTGTAATTAAGTTTTCTTAATGTTTAGTTGCATAATTAGAATTTTGAAGTCCCAATGAGATTAATGTCTAATAGGAAAGGCAAGGAATTATATGAACTTAAAATTTAGTGGAATCCTGCAGATTGAAAACTGCTTTGACTTTATCTGAATGACATGTGGTTGTGGTGGGGCCATGCCCAGTTTTTCATTTGTAAAGTATCCTATTCTTGGTCTGCATGTAAGAGGCAGAATTACATAATCAGAACCAGATATGGGGTTTGGAAATGAAACTGAGTACTTCTCAATGTTTTAAAAACCTTGTTCATTTTATGGACTATGAGTAGGCGGTAGTACAAAGGAAACACGCTTCATCTATCAGCTTATTTCTTTTGTAGATTGTCAAACTAATGTTTATTTGGCATACAATTTGTAAGGCTTTACTTGTACTTTCTTCCACTGAGGGGCACATCCTTCCCATATATCCCTAAATTAAAAAATAATAATAATAAAATAAAAAATAAAGCAAAAGCAAAGCAACAACAAAAAACCTCCTAGGTAGTAGAAATCTTCCTGCCGATATCCATACATTATTGAACAGGAAGCGAGAGAGTGAATGCTCTGCCTTGGATTTAACTGACTTTGACCATCGCCACTACCTCCTGCCAGTCACCCAGAAAATAACCCAGGCAGAGTAAGATGCTGCCTTTCATTCTTTTGTGTCCACAGTGACTGCTACCATTGTGATGGTTTGGAGATAACAGTGGTGGTAGTCTAACCAAGGAGATCACACTTAAAAATTCCCAGGCAAGGAACCAAAAAGAGAGAGAAACATGATCTGGATTGAAATACTTATAAATTTCTTATGGACTTGCTATCTGATTTTCATTATGTATGCCCAGATTTCTTTTACATTTTGGACATATGGTCATCCAACTAAATGTGGCCTTTTAAACACTGAATCAAAAGTGTTGGGATTTCTTTTAGAGAAAATGAAATCTTAGACCAAGAAATGGGTACTGTGAATCAATCCTATAAAGTATACTTCTTTCAAAATACTCAGCAATTTATAAGGCATGTAATACGGAAATTGTTGAGCTATATATAAATCTGATGATCATCTGTTCTTAAATCATTTATCAATCAATACAAATTACTTAGGTTTTCTACTTATCTTCTCAAGTAATTCACTCAATGAAACCAATGATTGAAAGAATCATGAGCAAAAGAACCTCAGAAAGTGATAGCATGTTCCCATTTCAACTTCTTTTGACATGTTAAGCAGAAAGGGCAGTCATCGCTTGCACAATGTGTTACCCTACTTCTGCCCAAAGATGCCACTGATACTTCCAGTGTCATTAAAGAAGAGCGGAGGGAGGTGGATCAGAGCAACCACTGGAACCATCCCACGACACACAGCATCTCAAGCCCCAGAACTTCCTCTTTAGCCTCACAAGAGAGAGGAAATCAGTCCTCAGTTCCTGAGCTGCTGCAGGACACTGATTACAAATATTATCATCCTGAGTACTCTGGCCATCTTGAACCAAAATGTTTTCATTTACCTAAAATGTCTTTTCTTAACAAAAGCTATACCAGTGATGCAGAAGATTTTCAGAGTGAGTCAGAAAATTTCAATAAGCTGATGACTCATGAAGATGAACACAGCTTGGGGATGGAGTCCAGCTGGACAATACTGCAACACACGTCCCAGCAAGCATCTAAAAATAGTGGAAGCAAACAGGCCTGGCATCGCAGGATGCTCTGCTTTGTTCTCTCAGAAAACATTTCTCGAGAGGAGAGTATATCTGGCAGTGCTCTTCAGAGTGCAGCAGCCCCCACTATCTGTTGTGAGCAGCAAGATGAGAAAGAGTCAGCTGCTAGAAAGATTAGCTCTTCAGCATCACTGATCAATATCGGGGCTGAAGGAAACAATAGACTGGGATATTTTTACCACAAGTTCTCAGATTTTTATAAAGACACCAGCAGTCACCTACTACATGTTGGCACAAAGGTAATCACCCAAGCCAAGTATGTGGGGAGCCTGTGTGACCCAAGTGGTCTCACCTCCCATGTGACAACATTTGTTAGAAGCCTTCCGTTTCCGAGGCTGTTACCCCTGGACATGTCCTGGAGTTCACGTATGGCTCCAACAGGATCTCATTCTTTTCCTGAAGCTCAGTCTAGCAGCCGCAGGAGCAAAGAGGCAGGGAGCCCAAGGTCAGCAGAGAGCACTGGGCCTTACTCCACCTCTGCCTTTGTAGCTGTAGGCTTACCAGGTTCCTCGCCAAGTTCAGTTTTCTGCCTTGAATATGAAGATGCTAGAAAAAGCTCTGCATTTAAGCAGACCCTTGTGAACTTCCCAGACCAAATGCTGAAATTTCAAGGGCACCCTTTAAAAGATCTTCTTGACCATGTGGCCTGTTCTCTGCCAGAGCCTTTGGGCAACATGAAAGAAGTCAAAGGCATTTACTGGCTCTCTGTTGCTAACTGCACAGAACCTGACCCCCAACCAGCATGCTTGCTCCTGCTCCCATTGGCTTTACTCGCTTTGGTCCTCTCAGATAATTGCCCAGGCTCAATGAACATTTTTCATGTTCTCCCCCTGTCTGAGCTACAGGAGATTCAAATTGGTTTTGGTGGGCAGAGTGTTCGATTCCTGGGTTCTACAGAGGGTCTTCTGCTCACTGTATTCAGTTACAACAAACACCTCTCGCAACAGCTGTGTTGGGACCTCCTGTATGTCCTGATTTCAGAGTCTGAAGCCACTGCTTGTGCAAATCATCCTTTGCTCCAACAAGATCTGGTTCAGCTTTCTCTTGATTGGAAAGCGGTAGTCCCAGATTTAGTTTTGGCGAATGGAGTTCAGTTGTCATCCCAGTTCCAAACAACCTTGGTTGACATGATTTACTTTCTTCATGGAAATTTAGAGGTCAGCATCCTTTCTCTGGCTGAGATTCAGTTACTGCTCTACACAACAGTCAGGGTTGATGGCGAGTCTGATCATAACCCATGCCAGTCACTAGTCCTTCTGAACACCCACATTGCACTTTTGCGGGAAGATCGAGTATTTTATCCACACACTCAGTCTCTAAAAACACTTCCTCCGTGGACACAGTTTGATGTGATCAAATGCCGAGCTTTAAGTGAATTCAGGTGTGTTGTTGTTCCAGACAAGAAAAACTTATCAACAGTAGAACTTGTCTTCTTAGGGAAACTCAGGCTTGCTTCAAATTCAGCAACTAGCTCATTTGTGCATCTGCAAGAAACACCTACTGCCCAGTTGTTCACCACCCCCTTGTGTCTTCAAGGTGGTCAGAATGCAGTACCTGAGGTCTGGAAGCTGACTTTCAATTCTCAAGATGAGGCTCTTTGGCTAATCTCACATTTGACAAGACTCTAGGGAGAAGACTTAAAGATATAGGACATTTTGAGATCTGCAATAAAATGAACATTATGAAAATAGTCAAGGGAATGTGAATGTCTCATTGTAGCTAATTGAATTGGAATAGAAAGAAGCAGATCTCTAAAATTGAAAATGTAAATATTTTAAATATCTATGGGAAAATGAAAATAGCTGATAGCAGAGAACTGATAAAACATCTTTATTACCACCTGCTTCATTTTCTTGAAACTCAGGCTTGTAAATTTAGGTCCACCTCATTATTTGTGAGATGATTAAAGCATTCTGATTGTTTTGCTTCATGTTGATTTATTGTGTTGTTGCTTGGGATCTGTCTGTGCTTGCTGGATTCTGGCAGGCTAATTTGTGCATCCTGAAAAAGTGCCCAGTCTGGCAGTGACTTTCATTGACATCCTCCGTGCTAGGCGTGATAAGGACAGCTATGTGGCATAACCACATAGTGCTACATTGAACTTCCTGTAATGACCCAGGACTCTGCGATGTTCTCGGAATCAAGCTAGAATGCATGCCCTGCAGTGTCTTCCTCCTCAGCTAATAGCCTCCTTTCATACGTTTTTGCTATTCTCTTTCAACCTGTATGATATCAGCTTCTGACAACTTCTATCCCCTACACATTCTAGTTCTTTCATATTTCTATTCTAGAAGGCTCTTTATCTCAGAATCTGTCTTTTTCTAATGACTTCTTTCTGCTCTTATTAAATATATGGTTGGCTCAGAAAACATTCAGCACTTTTCACTGGCTTCCTTTCCTCTTGGGTCTCACCAAAGCCATCACTTATGTCCTCTTGAAAGAGGTGTTCTGCTGGCTTGATGTGAGCTTGTATCTGCTCATCTCTGCCTGGAGTGAGTCTCCCCTCTCCACAGAATTCCATCCAAGAGTCAGCTGGCTGCCTCTGGAAGAGCCTTCAGGATGTGCCTTCAGGATCTCTCCTTAGATTGACCTTTTCCCGTGAACTATGAGGCAGCAGGTTTTGTATTGATTTTTCATTTTATCTGCCTCTGGCTGTTTTGCCATTGTTCTCCTGTCTCTTAGGTGTGAATCTACTAACTTCCAAGGTCTCAGAACATGCCTCTTTCCTCCATCTACTTCCTTCCCATGTCTGCTGGAATCCTGTTCAGCTTCATGTAGCTACTCAGCAATATTGTACACCATTGACTGAATCAGCAATTTCATGGAACCATTAACTGCATTCCTGATCTGGAAGGGCCACCTTCTGTTCTGGTCAAATCATTGATAATGTACAATACAAATGTGTACTTCTTCAATTCTGTTACTAATCAATGACAGGGATGGTGTCAAACTTAATCCACCCAGAAACTTGCCGTCTGTCTTTGACCAGAAGTGCACATTTTCCCCCTTTCTGCTATCAGAGCTACATAGTAACAAGCTAATTAAATGTTTGTACCTTTTCACCTATTTTCCTCTACCCAGATTCTGGGGAAATGGACAGGAAATCACAGAAAATTGGAGAATGTGTTGTGATCTACAAACTCATGGCTGCATCATTGTTCACTGTGGACCAATGGAGAGGGCTTTTTGGTTTTGAGGCAA